TCAAAAGAAAACTGAATTTGTTCTGTATCAAGCTCGCTGAATTTTTTTCAGTGCTTTCCAATAACGCAACTGAAAGTCTGACAAAAAACACAAACCTTTACTCTCGTTATCTAGTAAAGTTGACTTCATTAAATTAAAGTTTAATGAGAGTAAGTGAATTGTTTTGAAGTTATACTTAGTTACTGAAGCGGGAAATGCTAATTTGCTGCGAAAAGAAAAACATTTCTTCTTCTGTTTTCGCTCAAAAAACTTTTAAACCTTTAAAACTTTTAACATATGGGTTCCAGGTGTGGCGAGTTTGGTGGCCACAAATTGCCTCTTATTTATCGATCTGATTGTGCATTTCGTTTGTGTTAAGTGGTGTTTAGTGTCCAACCGCAAAACGATACCAAGTAAATTCTTCGAAAATGTTTCCTCTACCTCGTTCATTTTTCACTGTGAAAGGTATCACATTACATCTTGAGAGTTTCGTAATAAACGTGAAATATTATTAAAATCATAATTCGTTGTTCCTTCAGCTAGATTTTTCTCGTCGTGTAAGGAGACACCATTACCAGATTTACGACCGTAATAATCATAAATACCTAACACGGTCGGCATATAAATAATTTGTCATGAAATTATGTATGAACCTTTCCACTATACTAAATCACGATCTCTAGACGTTATTTCGGCCAAAATCGGCCGAATCGTGTGATTCAACACAGTCGACAACATCGTAAACTCACATGAACATTTCCAATGTTTCAGCGGAGACCTCACGTGTTCAACACACTCATAAAATTATTGACTAACTGTAACTTTTAAATTGCCGAGAACTCGCCGTTTTCCTCTAAATTATTACCGACAACACGGATAGATGTCGAATGTGATTTGTATTGCGTATCTGAAAGTGAATACGGATAACATCGATATTTTATCGACACGGAGGGACTTCCTGTCGTGACACAACATATTAAAGTGTTTCTTAGCGAGAAATTGTCATATTTTCAACATTGTTTCGATGTAATTCATGAGAATTTTGAAATGTATTTCAGCGGAAGTTGACCTCTTCTCCGGTGACCCAAGAATTTCAGCAGCGACCTGGATTCAGTCCTTATTTTTAATTACTGACCATATGGGTCAAATATAACGTAAATGAATCATGGGTTTAATTTGATGACTGCAGTTGAGCTTCAGATAAAACTTGAATAATTTTACCGCTCTCTTGGCATCGCGTTGCACTGTCTTGGGAAATTATTATAATGAGGATAGGAGATTTAAATGATAGCTTAAATGGATAAATAATTAAATTAATTAGACTTGCTGATTTATTTTTACTGTTTTATACCATTGCCTTTTTACACAACTAAAAGCAAAGAGCCTCAGGGCCCATTTAGTACAAATTGTGTATCTACAAAAAACTGGAACTTTTTAAAGAATGTATGTTGAGCAAAATCAAAACATACTTTTTTCTATGATTTTAGCAGATTTCTTTTATAGTTAGTTATTCGATTATTTTACATTCTTTTAGTGATCTTTATTAGTGATTCTTGATAACTTTTTTAACATAAGAAACACATTATTTAGCTTTTTGTATTAATTCATTAATGATAATTAATATAATCAATTAATGACTAATAATTAACTAATTATTAGAAATTAATTAATTAGTTAATATTTTGCCCTGTAGTAAAATGCAAAAATTTTTATTAAGAAAAATTTGTTAAAACTCGAACGTTTCTCTGTTAAAAGTTGATAAAAAACCTACGTGCTTATTTTTTTTCAATTTCATCTTTTCTAGCACCAAAGTACCCAAATATCAGTCACTACATTTTTTGCCAAATTTTGGTATTATTAAAAGGATAGTAATAAAGCGATCAGTAAATAATTCAATTTTGATCACTATTTAATTAATTTTTGCACGGTAAAAAATAAAAATTGACCAGTATAATATATTATAATATTTTGCACAGTAAAAATAATAAATGTCAAGTAAAGCACGCACAGTATTTTATTGTAATTTGTTCCGTAAAAAAAACAAATTGCACAGTGAAAATAATAAACGTTCAGTACTTACCTACCTTTAATCAAAATTAGTAAAATAACATAAAATTTAAGGAATTTTCAGTCTGTTCCTGTTCAAGAATGTTATTTATTATTGGAACTTATTTTTGTTTTACTGAATATTTATTATAATTGGAGGGTGGTATATGTATTAGCAAGGACCCCTGCGCAAGAATAATCCGGTTTTGCTCGAAAACATTTTGTCTGAAAATTAAATAAGTGAATATTAAATGAAGTAGTTTTACTGGACAATCATTCATTGTCTCTACTGTGCATTTATTATGTTATTTTGCATTTATTATTTTTACTGTGCATTTATTATTTTTACTGTGCACTTATTATTTTTATTGTGCATTTATTATTTTTATTTCATATTTTTTTTCTTTTATCACAATGTGTAGTTACTTTATAACATTACATATTTCACACAGATACCAAATATTTATGACCTATTTTTTATACCTAATTATTTGATTTTTTCCAAAAAGAAATGCTTTTGGTGATTCGTAAGAACTTTTAACATAATTAAGAAACACATTATTTATCTTTTTTGCGTTAATTCATTAATTAATTAAATTAATAAGTCACATGTAAAAATTTAAATTAACAAGAATTTAACAAACTCTGACGTTTCTCCGTTAAAAGTTGATAAAAAACGTACGCAAAAGTATCTAAATGACAAATTTACTAAATTTTATTGCAGAATCTTGACATTTTCTAAATTGTTAATTTTCGGAGCTACTCTTTATGGACTTTTTTTGTAAGAATTCTCTTGCTTTTTATTTTTTTGTCACAATGTTTATATTTGACCTAATTGATTGCAAAAAATGCGAAAAGCTGTTCAGATTTGCCTTTTTCCAGACACCAAGTAAGTATTCAATGAAATTTCTAATTAAAATTAAGTAGGCAACATTGAATAAAGTGGAGATAGAAGTTTGTCAATTTTCATGTTTTCTGCGTCTTTATTTCGTAATGTTGCCAACTTACAATTTTTATTTTCTTTTTAATCTCATAAAAGTCATGACCGTCTCTCGTGTTTTTTAAATATTTTATCTTCAGTTTAAAAGAGGAAAAGAAGAAACAAATTGACATCAATTAATTCTAGACATAGATGTTTTTTTTTGAAAAATTTGAGCAGCCATGTTTAAAAAAAATGATTCAAAAAAAGTCTTAGGTAGGTCAGCCTGGACAACCATCGAAAATTTCCAAAATCTCAGATTTGTGTTTAATTATTGTTAAGAATTAGAAATGTGCTTTGAGAACTTGGGAAGGAAGTAAGTGGAATATGTGAGAAAATGCATCCACAACCTGAAGCGCATTTTTCCTGAAAATCCGCCGTTCTTGCCGGAACACCTTCCATGAATGAAGCGATTTAGTGCCTCGACCCGACAAACTGATTTAAATTTTATCTATACTCAAGATAAGATTTCTCAAGCGTGTAATATAAATTACATTTAATTCAGTAAAAAGGAATGCGCTTGACAGCCACTCTACAACAAACCCAAGCAAATATTTCAGCGATTTAACAGTCAAGATCACGTGATAACAGTCATGCATTAACGCTAGAGATGTTCACATGTTTACGAGCCCGGAATTGACTTTGATGCGCTTTTATGCAAAAATTTCGGGAATTTTCTCGCCTTATTATTGGCCGGCGCACGTGACCAATCAACATAACGGTTTAGAAATAATTGAAATTAAGTCTCATTCTAGTTAGATAATAACTTCAATTAGCGTCAAGCTCGGCATATGGCAAAGTGATGCAATTTCGGAAATTAAAAGCTGCTAAATTAGTTATTATTATTTTTTATGGGCACGTCCGAGGATGCTTTTCGCAACATCCCAAGAAATAAAGGAGATTTGCTTCGACAATTATGGATTCAGGTTAATAGGAATGCAGACGAATTGTCCCAAAAGTAGGTCTATGTTAAACAAACATTTTTAAATATTTAGACTTTCTGTTAGAGATTATGATCTTGATTTCATTGGGAATTGGAAAATTTTGAAATATTTTTGTCAAATAATAATTCACCCTCTCTATGTTATGTCCATTTTATTAACGCAAGCCTTTGCAAGTATCAGTTTCTTGTTGTACGACCAGATGTCATGTAGAAGCATTATGTTATTTACTACATACAAGTCGTAAAATTCTCGTAAATTATTATAAAATAAATAGTTGTAATTGTAGATGAAGTTTTCTTTCAGTACAGTGAACTCTAAAGAAATAGAACTGAAATGTTTATTTTTTATTTTCTCGTTATTGCAAATTTATGTAACCATTTTTGGTCGTCATTTGTCTACATTTGTAGGATCTCATTATGAAATAAAAATAATAAAAACGCCAATAAAATAACAATTCTGGTCAACTAATGTCGTAACAAAAAAATTTTTTTTGGAAATTTGAACACCTGGTGACGCTAATTATTTAGAAAAATCGCGTTTTACGACTTGTGTAGAAAATTTATTACAGCAAGAAAATAACTTTTTAATTAATTTATATTCGATGACTTTCTCATTAAAACATTGTTTATGTCGTAAACTGTATCAATAAACGTACCATTGATAGAAACACACCTGTTTTTATTTTTAGAAAGGCTGAAACGCCACTAGTAAACACTGTAATTAGTTACATGAATTTACAACCAAATTATGTGTTCGAATGAAAGTTGTTATGTTTATTAATTATCACAGCGAGAGAAATGACCCGAAACGAAAAAAATTGGCTCTGGTGGAGGCGAATTTTACAATCTATGTGCTATTCTATTTTCGACTAAGGGAAAATTAAGACGGATATCCGGTCAAATTGTTGCTTGGTGTTCAAACAAACCATTCCATTATGGTAAATAAGAAAATCGTGAAAGTAGTAAACAGAATTTTTCGTCTCGGATGACTGCTTAGAGGAATGATTGATTATATCGTCTCGCTAAAAATAAATCAAAAAATAAGATAAATACCTGAGGAATGGAAATGTCCGGCAAAAGCAACATTTTCTGTTTTTCGTAATCACTTTTCATAAAAGTACAAATTTTATTCATTCTTTTTCCACACAATTAAATCCGGCAATGGCAATTAGGAAAAATCACACCAATCATCACTTCACTCCGCCGATCAATGAAATAAAGCGATAAATAAATAAAGTCAAGTGGGCGTAAAGAAACAATACCACACAAAACAAATGCTGAGCAATATCGTGAGCATGGGCATCTGCGATGCTGCCGCCGAAGAACTGCAACGGTACTCTCTTCAAGATATAGAAATGAGGTTGCTCAGGAAGAGGTTTCGCCTCGTGAACACAAAGCCTAGAGAAGGGGATATGTGCAATTGGCGTGTCAATTATTCAAAACAAACGCACGCAATGAAGAAACAATTGACGGCGATGATGTCGAGGACAAGGTTAACCATTGGTCAATCGCCGATTTTGAGGAAATAATCACAGGGTGCTCGGTTACGAAACGGGTCAGCTTGAACGAAACACTCGGAGATTTTCAAAGCGGAACGAACACGAAGTGATTAGGAATTTGTTAACACGCTGTCTGCACGAATTTGATCAAGCAGTCGCTTCTGGTGAAGCCCAACGGGCAGGAGGGCCGTAAATCAATGGGTTGCTGAGGTGAGACGATGGAATTAGCTCTTCTCAAGAATGAAAACTTTTTCAGAATACAAAATTTTGCATTGTTTCTAGCCTTCAAGTAGATGACCGTTTAACACTTTTTTGCATTTATCAAACCAAAAAAGCTCAAGATGACATTATTCATGCAACAACTTTCTAATCTTGAGTTCTCAAACTTTGTTAACTGTTTAAACTTACAAACCTGAAACTACTTTTGGGGGTTACACAGCCAGTAAATTACCTTGTTTTGGCAAAATAACTAATTTTTGATTTGAAAAAAATAATACCTATTCCACACTTTTTCTTATTTTGAAAGACTAGATGAATTCTGATACTTTGGAAACAATATCTACGAATAAATTGATCATTTTTTCAAGAGAATTGGGTGTATGAAATCAAGTTCGTCTATAAACAGGGCCAGATTGGCCATTTTTTTCACTTGGGGTCCAAAAATCTCAGTTTTAAAATTCCAGCCATTAGTAGATTTTGGATTTTCAGGTTTTACAATCACTTCAAAGTAAAACTTTTCAAGCGAAAATATAAAAACACATTATCTAAGTTATCTATAAGAAAACATACTAAAGAATAAGTGAACGTTATTTTAGTACGTCAATAAGCTCACTGTAAAAAAAGAGAAAGAAAATAAGAACAAAAATGACTGTTTTATTTATCTTTATTATTTTTATTGTCATATTATTCCAATTTTCCATGTTTGTGTTTTTTCAGTTTTTAATTTATTTTTAGTATATTTTGCATAAAATATTCTACAAAACTCTAATACAATAGTTTAAAAATTAAAAAAAATACTCCTACTAATTAATCACTTTTCAATTTAGGTCCGGCTTTAAAATTTTGTATGCGATAAAAATCTTTCAACTTTTTTTTTAGAATCAGCCAAATTGAAATAGTAAATAGGGACTAAAATGCACCATTTAATCCCGCGAGTGGAGTTTGTTGCCTCGAGGGCAACAACCACTCAAGGGATTTAGGCACTTTAGTCCCGAGGTATATTCGCTATTTTTTGCACTTCCATAGCATTTATTTTATATGTAAAATAATTCCAAATTTGTTCGTGTCAATGTGACAAATTTGTAGTTGATCCCTGTAAACAGGGACTAAAGTATCAACTTTAGTCCCGGAAGTGCAAAAATTATATTATTGACCATTTTCCAAAGCCCTAATCAAGTGATTAACGATGAAAATAAAGAGCTGAAACCCATATTTCGTGGTTATTTTAAAAACTGGACATAAAAGTTATAAAAGTCCCCATGTTCTTTCAATTGTCATTGAGAACATAGAACTGAGTTACTGTCGTGGACCAAAAACAAACAAAATATCTTTTTTTCTCGCGTTATTTCTTATTAAGATTGGGTGATAACCGTAGCACAGAATTTTTTTTTAGTAAAAGATCTCAAAACTAGAAACTGAAGCTCCAAAATGTTTTTTTTAATCTACTGAAAAAATCAACATTCAGGAATTTTTTTTGTTTTTTTAATTTTTTTGGAGTAGTGTATTTTTATGTAATCTTGACAGAGGAGGGAGTAAATTTTTCCTTTCTGAAATTAGGGTGAAAAAACTTACTTTCTGTTAGGGTCATGGAAAAAAGTTATCATTTTAAGATTTCACAATTCCGTTATTGTCGGATCTACATAAAACGTTTTTGATTAAATTAGGAAATCTCGTTGTACAAGTTGGAATATCCTAAGAAGTTTGAATCTTTTGATGTATTACAAATTCCAATAAACAAATTATTTCATATTTTTTGCTTGGGAGATTCCGAAACTCAATTTTAATTTTTCGATTTGTGTAAGTACCTACTTAAGTTTTGTAAGCATTGTGCAATAAACATTTTATGGAGATACTTATCAAAAGTAAATAGAAGATATAAAAATGAGAACTATTTTTACAATCATGCCACATGAGAGTTTCATTTATGATAAAATCTTTTTATGTCAGATTAGGTATTCTTATTACAGACTCTTTATAAAAATTACGCCAACACAAGTAATAAAAATCAACAAATGACATTTTTAATGATGGCAATTTTACTATTAGACATTTATGGTTTGATAGTGTTGATTTCTGAAAATTTAGGATAGCTATATCATGTGTTCATTAAGTTTTTCATTAGGAGTGTAGCTTTCATCTAGGCATTTATGGCGTATATTTTTTCTCCGTACCTCGCATCAGGTGTGAGTTTGGACTTTGTAAGTTGGCTAATCAAGCATAATTTTCGTTTTGTAAACGTGTTTGTACATCTCAAGCTCCGTTTAAGCGAACCAAATTAATTAAGTGCCACATCTCTGCAAGACATACCTCCTAGGCGGGACCCCCAACCCGAGCATGAAACTAACTAAAATCATATCATTTTCTTTTAACAGAAACGTCCTATAACAAGCATTAGTGACTTAAATACAAATCTCTGGTTTCGGTTAAATCGGCAATTAGTGGATAAACCGGCGTTGCGAGACGTTGGCGGCTGGATAATTGGATAAAAATAACTTTGAACTTGCGAACTCTTCGTCAAAAGCGACATGAGAATATGTTAGAACATTGAAAAAGTCGCCGACAATCTCATTGAAAGTACAGCGAATTAATATCCATGACAGGTTTATTCGTTGTATACGCAAAACGTGCATCAAATCACTTCCTTTCTCTTCGATAAATAAACGACCAGCATACAAATGCTCCAGAGCGATTTTCCCTTTTTCGATCAAATAATCAATCTCGAATATTATGCAAATTAATTACTCAAGTTTTTTTACATTCCGTCGCAATTTTAGATAAGAACCGTGACTGAAATTAATAAATCATTCATAAATATGACAAATTAGAGTAGATTTTCTGGTAAGTAGTCGCATCCTCTTTTTTCAACTCTCTACGGTACATTTTGATAAATAACCGGCAATTTATTGAGAGCTAAGCTCAAACTTCCCACGTTTTAGTTTTGTCGAACAATGATTTAAAAAAAAATACTAATCTTTCTAATTTAATCTTTATACAAACGTCTTTGAAATATTTTACAGGTATGTTAAAAAAAAGTCACAATCATTTCATTTAATAAATATAAAGCAGGGTTTTGAAAAGATTAAAAAAGTTCCAAAACAGAAGGTTCGAAAACTTCAGAATTCAAGTAAAAAAATAACAATTCTCTACTGCTCCATCTGTATGCATCGAAAGAATCATTCGAGGAATTAACGATGTTTATTCCAGGGATTTATTCCAACAGATTGATTTTATTTCCGAGGGAATAAAGCATCAGTTTATTCACTGTTAGAAGGAAAAAAGTTTCTCAAATTATTTACTTCTCTCTTTTATAATTTGTATGGTCTACAATATAATTTTTTCATTCTTGAATAGTGATATTAGTAAAAGTAAGTTTTAAGTAATAAGTCATTTATTTAAATCAAATCAAAAATAAGCAAGATATAGCCTTGAATTTTTTTTATTTATAAGCATATTATTTTTAATAATAATCGTTAATAACCACATTTAACATGTTTTTATTTTATTTACATTTGTCATGAGAAACTCACATAAAATTTGTTTTACTATACAGGGTCTTTCAGAACTCGTGCTCCAGAGAAAATTTTCAAGTAAGATAAGAGACCAGGAACATGGAAAAATAAATTTTAACATTTATTTTTTGATATTTGACATTTTATTATGTCGATTTAATGTTACTAATGATTTTCCGCTTCCTTATTTCCTTTGCCAATAGCCTGTAGCAAAAAAAAAATTGGGAAATTATTTTTCCAACAGAAATTGCAAAATTTGTATTACCATAACTCAAAATTTTTATGAATAGAATTTTTTAAACATTTTTTTCCATGTATCTTACCTTACATGACATTTTTCTCGTATAAATCATCTACAGCAAGAATATTTATTTACATATGTAAATTTTGGTTTGCTTATACTAGTAACACAAAACTATAATTAGCAAATTCATGTTTATTATATTTTTTATGTATCAGCCGTTCTCTGCCTATAATAAATAATTGATAGAATAAATCTTTTAAACTGTTACACCACCAATCTAGATCTTATCTTCAAAATCACGTTACTTATACAGGTATTAAGATACTTAAAAAGTTAAATACGACACATTTTAATTGGAACAATAAATTTATTGTTTTTTTTCTAAAGTTTCCCTGAACTAGCATATTCTGTCCCAAAGGGTGGCTACTCACGGTCCGAGCGTTCGCTTAACGGTACAAAAACAGTAAACTTCCTGAGGAATTAATTAGCGTTGGCAAAAAAGTCGTTTTTTCGTCTGGTATCATGGGAAGCACGTAAACTTACTAAATTTAATTACCAAATAATTGGAGCGAATTGACCCATTCCACGGAATTATGCAAATGCAGAGCGCCAGTTAAAATATTTGTTGTTTGGTTTCGCCGAAAATTAGCGTCGATTGGATATTAGAGATGTTAAATAACAGTTATGGCGTTATTTATGTCTTGGACTTGGTGATGGTGCGTGCTTTAATTCATCTCAGTGTTTATAAAGTTCACTTGTAATGTATTCGAGTGAACGTCCGTTCGCTCGCGATCAACGAACGCACTTCTCGTACTTGGAGAATTCAGCCGGAAATTCAAGTGTCGTTCTTCCTGTCTTG